AGAGTTCTAAAACAAAACAGAAGTGGCGTCGAAGAACTTCTAAAAATATGTATCAAAGTTGCCACTGAGTATTCATTAAACTACTACTCATATTCTCTATTAATTATTGTATTCTGTTATATGCAAATAAGGAAACCCACTTACTATCAACAAATAAACATACAAAAACTAGATGATTATATGATAGTTTTCACCTGGAGAGTATTAGTTTGGAATGCCACATGATCTTTAATTTTAAATAGAGAATACCATACTGACATATTCTTTCCTTACTCCTTAAATGTCAACTTTTTACTATAGAAACCAAGAGCAGTATGAAAACTTACTAGGCTCAGAAATATACTGTGTTTCTGAAGGATGTACATCTTCCACTTCAGTTCTTGTGATTTTAATTACATGATCCACAACAAAGAGCTTTTGTATCGTTTGCCACTCACTGGGCCATATGAGAGCTATACTGTGCAAAAAAACCACAACATGCCTTAAGACACACGGAAATTAAGAGAACTAACGTAATCCATTAGCCTCCTAAACTAAAATCAGCAAAATCAATATTTAATACAAAGGAATTAGAGGGGAAAAATATCATCGTCAACAAAGAACAGTTTCTTTCATACAAAACAATGCTACGATAGCATGAAAACTAAAGTTATATGAATCAACATGGTTAAATCTCAAAAACCTAAATTGAGTGAAAAAAGTCGGTTGCAGAATATAGTATGATGTCATTTATACAAAAGTTTTTTTAATATGCAAACATTGCTATGTGTGTTTTTGGTTTTTTTTTTTTTAGAGAAATCCTTTCTGATTGATAACCCTCAAATTCAGAACAGTAGTTATTGAGAGAGGAAGGAAATAAGAGAGAAAAGGAGGACTGGAAGAAAGGATAAGTACCAAGGAGCCTTCGGTTATATTTTAATTGTTTAATTTTTAAACTGGCTGGTGGCACATATTTGTTTGTTTTATTATAGCTATTGTTCTGGCTGTCTGGCATTTAAACAACAACAACAAAAGAAAAAAAGGAAAAAAGAGCTGAGGGGAGAACATAGAAGAAAATATATATTAATTCTAAACTTCCTTAACTAATATTAAAGCATTGATACATAAATAATAATAAAGTCCTTAACTTTAGCTTTGTCCCAAAGGAATTTTTATTTATGTGTTTCAATGTTCTTTTCATAGTTTTTGGGCAAGGTCAGAAGCATCCAACCTTCTCTTATATAGTTATATTTAAAAATTATTTCAAAAGACAAAATGGTGACATCAGGGCTACGTTTCATAGATGAGCCCTTCTGGAAGCACCTGAGGAGTGGATCAAAATTTGATTGTAAGACCCTATATTTCCAGATGATCCCTCAGTGCCATGCTGCCTTCCCCCTCCTCCATTTTATGAAGCCTAGTGGCTACAGATAAATGACAACCGAAACCCTGTTGATTATGTGATTCTGAAAAATAAGTCCACCTGGAGACTCTGCGCTGGTTACCAGCAGCTTGGAAGGAGAAAGCCGGGCTCCAGGAAGAAGAGGGAAGGAACAAAAGGCAAGGTGCCCATGGGAAGCCTCTTGCCTTTTATGGAGAAATAGCCTTTTTTATTTAAAAATAAAAAACAACAAAAAAAAACGCTCACTCTAGTAGAGCGTATAAAAGGAAAAAAACCCACAATTTAGCAAAGGACTAGATTCTTAAAGTAATTGTGTCAGATGAGAAATTTCTCGATCATTAGAAACAGAAAAATTGCATGAAGAGAAGGAACTCACAGTTTAGAATCTTCTTTGGTCATGGAAGCAAATGTAAACATGAGTCCCCCATGGGGACACAGAAGAGCACTGTTTCCGACCGATGACACAGGACTACATCTTGTAGGTTTCCTACTCAAATGAAACAGGAAGGATTAATATACTGCATGACTACAGAGAAAAATTTTAAGATAATTATTTTAAAATTAGAGATATATTTAAAAGGATATTAGTAATTAAATGTTTCTTAGAGTTATTCATTTAACTTAAAAAAAGAGCTTTCAGTATATGCTAGTAAAGGTAACCAAAAGGGTACTATGATCAGAACCCATGAATTCTTAAAAACACTATAAAATCAACCCCCCAAAAAACGGAAACAGAAAAATTTTGGATTCTACCTAACAAATTTCCTCCATTCTTCTACAAAGAACTGTGACACAATGTAGAGGACATCTGTATCCTAGAACAGAAAAATCACATAAAGATATCCATTAATTCACTGCATTCTGAACCTAAATCTTTAGGGAACATGTTTTTCTACACACTGTGGTCTTTTTTAAGTTTTACAAATAAAATGGAAAAACAGCTCTCTACCGAGAAATAGCAAGCTACAGTAAATCCCCCTGATTAGACAAAACTAAACAAATGAGAATTAGAGAAACTCTGGGCTGTTCTCAAACAGTTCATCAGGAATGTATGTGTGTGTGTGGGGAGGGAGAGATTGACAAAAGCCTGAAAAAGCTAAGATGAATTCTATCCTTGCTGGGGATCATGATACCTCTGGCCAATTACTGAGACAGGGTCTGTTTTTGTCCTGGAACAAATTCGGGAGAGAAGTCTTCTGTTCATTTGCAATCATTTTATGTAAGGCTTCGTTTTCTTCCCCTTCTCTTTCTAAAATCTGAAAGAAAATGAAATAATCAACTATCTCCTGCTGATAGCATAGGACTTGCTTCCTCCCCACACTCTCATTAGGAGAACAATGCAAGGAAGTCAGTGCAGGGAGGTGGCATGCGAGTTCCAGAACTTTCCAGCATAGCGTTCGGTACCTTGCACTGTGAACAGCATTCTTTGTAACTTGGAAACTCAGGAGCCTTTGGAAAGTACTGCTGCAGTTTGCTCCAAGCCTCTTTAGAAACAAGCCTTCTTTCGTTTTCAGATATGCATAACTCCCCTGAGGTTAAAAAAAAATTACATTTGAAGAAAAAAAAAAGACTTAAAAAAGTCAGCATATAGCCTCCAAAAATCTATTTCCTATACTTAAGAAAAATTTGTAGGTATACTATCTCCTTCGTTTCTAAAGTGTTGTAACTCTTTCCTTAGTTTCAAAAGTCTCTAATTTTTTTTATTGCATCTAATTCTAAAAAAGCCACTTCTTTATGTCCTTAATCTAGGTCTGTAGTTGAAAAATCAGGAGACAGAAGTTGTGCATTTCCTATCTTTCTTCCTGCCGGTAAAAAAAAAAGGCCACCAGGGATCCTAGTGTCTCTGTGCTGGACAAGGGGCTGTTAAACAGCATTTCATCTCCGCCCACACTCAAATGTCACAATTTCCTGCAGACTTTATTTTCTCCTATTTGATTGTGTTACTTTACTGAAATCATCCTGAATTAAAATGGCATTTTCAAGGTGGTGTGGTGTCCAATCCTCTCAGGTTCGTTCTCTTAAATTATCAATTCAAAGTTAAGCAATACAGCAATTTATTCTACAATTGGAAAACCGTCTCCAGCACAGGATCCAACTAGTTTGCTACTGCCATCCCCACAACCCCTGTAGATCTTTAAAAGTCTCCAAAGAGAGGAATATTAGTCATCACCACCCATTCTCTTCTTAGAAGGTCATGGGAACCCAGATGGCAGCAACCTGCATCCTCAGCAGCCCCACCTGTTTACTGTTTATACATATCTATATCTAGCTTGCCAGGGCCTTTCTCTCCACTTTATCTCTCACTCCATTTGTGGTTCTAGTTTTTACTGTCTCAGCTGTTCCCGACTGACAAATCAGTGAACTGTACTTAAAATACCTATATGGGTCAATATCCAGAAAAGCACCTTTCAGTTTCCAAAGCCCTTCATTTGTTTCTACCCACAATGGCCAGGTACCTCCAGGTTTATTAAGAGTAATAAAGCCAGAGACTTTCTAAACACAGTATCGTCATTCTTTGATTTATGTGTTTTACCTAATAAACTGAGAATTAGAGAAATTAATATGCCCAGGGTCACCACAGCTGGTGAATAACGAAGCTGGGATATGACCCAGGTCTGACCCACCTAAACCCCATAATTTCTAATCCCTCAAAATCCATCTTTTTAACTTCTACTCTTCATTTCTTATTGAGCTTTGAATAATCTCAAGAAAAGATTACTTTGCTTTAATAAACTTATGACCAGAGAAAAATAGGTCACAATGTAAAAATTAACTTTCTTTCTGAGGAGGCTCTTAAATTTCTTCGGAGGCTATGAAAACTTACTCCAACACGCCTATCCCCAGACACAATCGGGATATCCTCCCCCCAAAAAGATTAGATTATCAAACCCTAACAGAGTACGTCTTTATGGTGAAATAGAATGCAGCCATAAAAAGGATTAAGGTAGATTTCCATGATCTGATTTTTTAGAAAGAACTCCAAGGCGATTAAGTTTTAAACTGGTTTCCCTTTTTTTCCCTTAAAAAACAAAACAAACTCTTCCTCTGCATGTAAGTGGTATAACCCAATCTGGGTACAGAAAGGAGAGGGAATGAAGGAAACAATAATATACACACACACACTTCAATAGGATTCCACAGATACTATGGATGCATACTGCCTGTTGTTCTGATGTGGGGGTACTTTTACTTATTGACTGGCTTTCATGTTGCCCATGTATTACTCATATAATTAAAAAAGAACAATCCAAATTTATTTCTGAAATCAGAAAAGTATTTTCAATAAGTCATTTTACTGCAGTCTAATTGGTAATAATTATAAAGTCCTCCACTCTTAATTTCTTAGCCATGTTTCTAAATTTAGTTTCATATCATTTTAATAATACCATGATTTAATATGTCCTAATATTGTGTATGACCTCACAGTAATTCACTTTTACTTGTGACATGAGTTTTTCGGAATCAGACTTGTATCCTGCAATAAATAACACTGTTTCTTAAATTTGTAAAGGGAAAGCCAACAACTTAACCCATCCTGTGAGGAACATCTCTCAATACAAGAGCAAAGCAGTCATGAGAGATTTCATTCACCAAACATAATTGGATAACCTAATCCCCAAAGATTCTTATGGTAAAAATAGAAATCTAGTTAACAATGAGCTTAGATTTTGGATAAACACCCTCCCCCCAAAAATCTAGTTCAAACTGTAATAATTTGGGCCACAGAATGTCAGAAGAACATATAACAAAACAAAACAAAGGCCATCTGCTAAGCAAAAGAGGTGTTATTAACAAGATAAGTTACAGTAAGTTATAAGTACATATAAAGTAAAACGGCTAAGAAAGCCTGATGCATATATAATATCTGCAATAAATGCTAAACTCTATGGTAGTAGTAAATCTTCTAATGAAATATAATCCAGTGATTAATTCACATAAAATCTGTGATGTTAAATATACACAGGGCTTTAGAAATAAATGGAGATTTTGTTATAAAAACATGAAAATTCAAAACAAGGACTTCCAGATAAAAATGTTTTAAAACTGCATTTACTTTCAGTTGCTTCTTGAAACACCATTAAACCACAGAAAAAGGATTTTTTAAAAAGATTTAAAATCATAATGCTAGATTAAAAAGAAGAGAGCGGAAACAACAACAAAAATTTTAGAAGCCTAAAAGCAGATGGATAAGACACATGAAAAATAAACTTTAAATTGGCAATAAGTCAAGAAGTAATCAAATTTACTATACTGTAGAACTGCTCCCACAGACCCAGACAACGGGGGCACCTAGTAGTATGGGTGGGGTTTAAAAAAATAAGAGAATGGATTAAAAGTCTATTTAAGAGGCAGTTAAATAAAATTTCAGTTCCCCTCCCTCTACACCCTTCAGATAACTGCCCCCTTCTACCCATAAAAGAAGACCACGAGCTCTCTGATGACATAAAACCTAAGGCCACTGCTCTGGGTAGTGATACAAAGCACAGAGATGAATGAGGGAATGAGCTGACATTTCTACACAGAATGCAGATTCCCAAGCCCTTTCTCTGCTACCCTGAAACCGCAAGTGACAGTCATGTCTACATTTTCCAGGCAGGAGAATGGACGATGTCTATGGAGAAATCTGAGCAGCCCTAGAGCAGAAAGTGACATTAAGAATTCCCCAGTGAACAGCTCCACTAGGGCATCCTGGCAGCAAAGCTCTTAGTCACCAGCCCTCCTACATGCACACAGCCTGCACAGAGCACCCTGTGCACAGTAAATGAGGTAGGGCGTGCACCTGGGCAGGTCAGTGTGAGATGTCACTGAACACCGGAGACAAGATCTTACATGCTGCCAGAAACGGAAGGGAAAAAAATTACTTCTGAATAATGGTTTTGGACAAATGGTACAATGAAAAATAGAGCAAGTCCTTCAAATTTTTGAAGAAAAATAATTTCAAACAACTATATACCCAGGCAAAACTACCCATTAACGTGGTGACCTTGAGCAAATGACTCCCACCTCTCTATGCCTCAGTTTATTTATGCTTCAGTACACTGGATATGACAGTAATATTGACCTCTCAGGGTTGTGTATAAGTGAGTTAATACCTACACACCCAGAAAACTATGGGGCACATATGTGTGTGTAAACATTCAGTAAATTTCCATTATCATCATACTATTAGTACTTTAGTACTAACTACCACCACCACCACCATGATCAACACATTTCAGGAACAAGTTTCAAGATAAATGTACTTGGGCCAATATCATGCACCTGAAAAACCTGACCTCATAGACACGGTACACCAATAGGTGATGTCTACGAAAACAACAGCTGAAATACTAGATAACAAAGTATAGCACCAAAGTGCCACCAAGTTGCAGCTCAAGCTAAAGATCTAAAAAATAGCTCTTGTGTAAAATTTCTGCCAAGGAATGCAGCACATGTCCTGAAATCATATCCAGCTCTGCCATGCTCTCTAATCAAAACTGTTATACTGAAATGACAAGATGAGACGAGAGGTGGGAAGACAGAGCAAAAGTCAGTGAGCTAAAGAATAAGATGACAATCTGGGTCCTGGCACTGTTTCAACCAGCGGGGAAGCACCAAGCATGAAACTTGGTATTTCACCAGATTCCTCGACTCTCAAAATGGAGGCACTTGTCCCATGTCCATATCTATGCTGTGAAGAGCTGATATGACAGCATTAAGAGAAAAACTAACCTACTTTTGGCTATTCACTTTGCCTCCCTCTACTTATTCAATCTGTTTACCACCAGAAAGCCTCGTCTTCTCTTACACTTGTGCTCCTACTGTGCACTACTAGTGTAAGGACACAAACTGGGAAGCAGGCGATGAGACGGAAAGGATGGATGGGCTTGGGATCCAAAGACCCGAATCCACATCCCAGGAAGACCCCTGCCCCACTTCCTAGTTGCGTGGCCAATAAATAAGATGTCACTCAGCTAGTAAGGTAAAGTGCGTGAGACAATGTCCAGAAAGTTCAGCATGCAAGTACCACCCAAGTGACTATTATCATCAGTGTCATCAAGGACCCTTAATATAAAAGCGCTGGTGTACATGAGGGTAAATGTGAGGCATCATATACTGGTTTATAATGAACCAATAAAGTGAAAACTAAAATTAGAAATTTATTAGGACCAACAAGAATTCTGAGTATTGGCAATACATTAGCATGCAACAAGAAATGCGCAGAAGTGGGTTAATAGTATTAACCACTGACATCCCAACTTCTCTAGGACCACTTTTCCCAGGATAGAATTTTTTAAAGAGGTGTGGGGGGTGAGGGGACTTACACAGTAGAAGGCTTCAAGAAGCAGACACCTGCTTGACTCTCTTAGTACTAACATAATAGAAAATCATGTCTCACATATAACGAATCCCTCACAAAAAGTTACTTATTAGAAATGAGTACTAAGACCAAATGAGAACTACATAAACAAATACATAGATTAATAAGGATTTGGAAATTACTATTAAGAGTATATAGCACAGTTGCTAGTCAATAAATGTCAAAAAAAAAACTAAACAAAACATACCTTTAAGAAGAAGAAATATATGAACATTGTTCTCAAAGTGTTCAAACTGGACAAAGACAGTCATAGGAAATAATTGAAATTCTTCCCTTCAACAAAGAAAGCCCTCAATGTAAAAAGGGACTAAAAGTTCCCTCTCCTCTAAATACGGGGACATCCTGAGTTCTATATATATATTTTTAATTTTTTTTTGCAAGGAGAGAAGAAAAGGTATTAGAGGCATGGGCATGAAATCAGGCAGTAGAAACTAACAGATAAAAAGGGTATGAGAACAAAAATGTTAGAAACAAGTACTGTTTAGAAAGCCAGTTACTCCGTCATGGCTGCCATATTAAGGCCTAATCCTTCTGAGAAAGTGTGAAACATTTAACAAAAATATTTACCATATGCTAAAATCTGACTAACAATGGAAGGTTTATGCTTCTGGCTTACCATGTGGACATAGAATGTCTTCATTAAAATTTAATTCTTCCTCTTCTTCTTTTCTTTCTTCCTTTGATTCGTCTAATCAAAAGAAATACAGGTAATAACTGCTCTGGCTGTTATATGTAAAGTTCAAAGTAGCAGAGACACTACTCTGCACAATTTTGAACAAAGAAAACTTTAAAATTAGACCCCAATGATTCCTACATAGTTCTGTTAAGAAGTGTTATATTTCTTTACCTTAAAAGGAAAGAAGAATATCTGAATGGCAGTTTTACTTTTTAAAGAGTTAGGTTATGCAAGAAAATGTGCCTTTTTCAAACTGAAAAATAATTTACATATCCTTCCATTAATTCTAGTCAAGATATTCAGAATACTGTGTCATAAAGCAAGTTAATCATCCACATGTCATGTCATTCTCACCTACTTACTCTTTTAAGGGGTTGAATAGAAAGCTTTAGAGACTAATGCAATAAGGACTTAACCTTTAACAGCTAACACATATATAATAAGAACTTTTCCTGTTAACATTTCTCTTCCAATATCTGCTTTTCCCACTTGTCTACACTGTATCACCGTCAATTTGTAGTTGTGTATACCAGGAACATGATCAAATAAAGTCTTAAGTTTCAGGAGATTAGAATAGTTATCATGGGTTTTCCAGGTTAAGTACACGATGTATTTAATACATTTAATATATATAAAGAATACTTACTAAAAATATTTATTAAAAAGTTCAAGTAGAGAAATGGACAAAGGAAGGACATTACTACATAACTTTCTCTGGTCTCTGGTCTCCTCTCTCTCTCTCTCTCTCTCTGTGTCTCACATATACCAATACAAACAACTTCTCAAATATACGATGACGGTCAATCTCAATGATAATTTTAAAAGATGCAAGCCTTAACACTCCTAAGTCATTTTTAATATATCAAAATGATAAAAATTGATGTGACTGATGTACTCTGTATATTGACAAAAGCATGTCAAAACAAACCCCCAATATACTTTTTGGAGGAAATTTACCACTATGTATCTGTATATGACAATTATATATGGGTATTATTCTCTGATCCAGCAATTTCTAGGAATTTATTTAAACTCCTCAAATTTAAAAATGATAAAATTCACAGCTTAAAACTATAGTGGCTTTAGTATTTTTATTTTCTCAAAAAGTAAGGTAGTGATATGAGGACCCACACCAAGTAAAATTAAATGATATAACATGCTTGAATGCAGAAGATATAAAGTATTTTAGTAAAATGATTAATATTAAAATGATAAATACGTATGTAATTACTAATATCTGGAGATAAGAAAAATAGGTTAAATAATTGCTAGTGGATCTATATCTCTGAAATAGTAAGCTGATTAAACCATTAGCTTACATTTTAAATCTAAAAATAGTTTCTATGTCCCAAGTTCCCTTGATGCCTTAAAAAACAGTTAAAAGTTGACTTACACAAGCTGCCTTCTCTCCTAAGATGAAAAACACAGAAGTATATACTCCTCTACTTGACAAAAGCAGCTGGTAACTGTGACAGATAATCTATAACCAAAACGTACTATGTAATTTGCAGCAGAATTACCTTTCTTAAAAATTTTAGTCTGGAGCAAAATTAAAATTAATTTTGCATGTGATTATCTAGAGAGACCTTGCACCCAACACATGCCAGGTTATAAAGAATTCATCCGAGGTGCTGAACCCTTGCTCAGTATCAATGGCTTAAAAATCCTTTATTTGTTCTGACACATTCTTGAGAACTTTAAGTTTTTTATGAAAAATTATCTTTAAAATTACATAGATGAGAATTAAACCAATTTTATTAAATGAATTTTAGTAATTTTAAAAATGAATGTTTAGAGTTTTGTAGTATAGTTCACTACTACCTACAGTTTTAGACGTTACCTTTATTCAAGCTGTTGCCATTCATTTTTCCATTGCTTTGGTCTGCGTCACCATCTTGCTCATCCAGTTGTTCAAGAGCTAGCTGGCGCCAACTGCGCAGGGAGGATTTTCCCACCCAAAATCCATCATTGCTGAGGAACAGAGAGAAAGTAAAACCATGCAAGTAACATCCTCTCCCCTTCTTTCCTTACAAATGTCATAGCTAAAATGAATTACACTCAAAATCTGCTGTATACACAATATTTTTAACTCACTTCCTCATTTTGGCCAGTTTTATTCCTCACTATTGAATCTCATATTTTGTTTCCATCCTAAATCTTACCTGCTTCCTCTAACACACATTTACATTCATGTCAATCACACCAATCAACTGGCCACTCTCTTT